ATTTTCTTACAGCTTTATTTACTATTTTTACAGTTTCTAAAGAATTATTTTTAGAATGTACATATTAAGTTTCTAGAGTTTAATTTACTTATAGAATTTTTTGGTTATTTACCTACAAGTTTTGTAGCTTTCCGTACACATTATTTTCTTCAATTCTTTGAGGAAAATTTCTATTAATAAAAATAATTATTAAATATTTTTAAATTGTTTTTTGGTTGTTTTATTTTCTCCACGCATCTTAATGAAATAAAATTTTGTCATAAATAATATCTTATATATAAAACACGAACGTTACGGTGAATAGCGAGCACTACCACTATCGAACCATGTTGACTGAATTAATGATGTCGATGTTTAATTCCAACAAGACGGAGCAACTTGTCATACAGCGGTTTTAACAATCGATTTATTGCGAAATCAATTTGTTAACAACAGGACTTTTATTTCCATAAGTGGTCCTGTTAGCTGGCCCCCTCGTTCGTGTGATGTAACACCTCTCGATTACTTTTTATGGGGCTATGTTAAGTCATTGGCTTATCCTGAGAAATCAGCACGTCTTGAAGCATTGGAGACCAACGTTCATGTCACCATTGACGCCATACGGTCACATTTATTGTAAAAAATAGTCAAAAATTGAACTGATCGAATGGACCATATAACAGGTCGCCGCGGCGGACATATGCCGGAAATCATATTTAAAAAATAAATACAATGAAATAAAAAAAAAATTTATTCTAACAATATTTCCGACTTATATTATTATTTTAAGTACTCATCTGATCAGAGTACTTAAAGTGCTCAAAAAGTACTCGGATTTTGTATATAAAACAAATTTAAATTTTATTTCAAATTTATTTTATCATCTTCAAAACATGCTCCTTCTGAAGCGATACACTATACCAACGCTTAATCCAATCTTCCATACACTTTTCGTAGGCCCGTGAAGGTATGGCTTTTAGTTCCTTCAGCAAATTTTCTTTTACCGATTCAATCGACTCAAAACGCTTACCACGGGGGGGCAATTTGAGTTTCGGGAACAGGAAAAAGTCGCACGGATCCAGATCTGGCGAATATGGTGCCTAAGCGATGACAGTGGTGCCGTGTTTTGTCAAAAAATCGCATACAACAAGAATTTTCCATAATAAAAATCGGTAAATGCACTTGAGGTAGTTTCACATTAACAGCTGCTGTAAACAAACCAATTGACAGAAGGCGCTCAAATTTGTACCATATGTCAAGAAAGGGTGTACCAGCATAACAAAAAAAGACCTTTTTGAAAAAGGTCTATAACTTAAGGAATAGTTAACAAACAACAGAATCTGGGTAGAAGATAAGCTAACTGTTAAATGGAGCAATTTTTGACTAATTTTGGTTTAAACTATTGCAAACAAAAAAATTATATAGGCTACAACTCGAAATTGCCTTTAACCTTTTAAGTGCAATATTACCATTTAGTTTTTGTGCATATTTCATTGATTGAATTATCGTATTTTCAATATGATAGATTTCTGCAATGAAATTATAGTCTTGTCAGAACAAAATGATATTTAGTTTCAAAAAACTATACTTAAAATTCTACTTCGTTCTTATTTAATTTTTTTTTTCCAAAAGTAAGACAATAATTTAGCGGGCATTGTTATATATTTCAGTTTTTGTTTAGTTTAATTTATTTCAGCCAACTTTTACATTTCCCCAAGTTCATAGAAATGCAGTTGAAACGAAATTTGCATAAAAACTTGCATGTTTCTGGTCTGTTATTGGTCTGCTATTACTGCACACGAGTTCGTCAAGTGCCAAAACTGTTTGTGGTTTGAAAACTGAAATATGCAATACAAAGTCTGTAGAACCCGTGTCTCTCTACCGTTAGGAGCATAAATGGGGTGGAAAACCGTTTTGTATAAGAGTCGCGCTTAACCGCAATAATGGGTTCGGACGAGACAAGTGTACGTGGAGGCACTCATTGTTAAAGTTGGCAACTGAAATATGAGTTGCGTTGCTGAAAGAACTTCAAACTGTCAGCGACAGCAAGAACAACAATACAAAATGTTTTCAAACAACAACAGCAACAGAAGCAATATCATCAGCAACAATAGCACTAACAATTGCACCAAAAACAATTACCGGCATAGAAAGTCAAGTGAAGGGAACTGGAGTGAAGTGAAGTGAATGGCATTAACCATGCAAAGACCAAAAATGGTTTGAACAAATTTTCACTTCTCGTAGAATTGAAAAAAAAAAACATATTTAAATTACTTTCAATTTGGTTGGCTCAACTGTGTGGATCTGCGCTTAAGTCCATTGTAATTAGCATTTAAGTGTTAATAGACTTAACTACTCACAGACACAAAATATACATAATAAAAAGTATTCTACTTTGCTGAAGCAGTAAGTCAATGGGGCAATTGTACGTGCATTGAACCCCGGTTTATATTGTATGAGGCTGTATTGTTTTTATTGCTGTCAATCTCATTTTGGAATAATGAGTTTTTTCTTTTACTTTTATTGTGGCAAAACTGTGTCATATAAAATCATTTAAGTGTGGGAAATGAGTAATTTGCCTTATTTTAATAATAATTAAATAAATAATTCCTTAATGCTCATTACACACAGACATTATATATAATTGCTATCTATGAAACGTTCGCTCATTACGTACAATGTAGTGCAATACCGAAAATAATTGCAGAATTGGTAAAAACTCATTAAGATTTCAATTACCGCTCCAGCTTATGTACAAAAACGCCGATGACTCTTGAAAGTAATACTGCAGTTTTACTTTTTAATTTATTAAGTCAAAAGCCAGTAAGCCATTAGCACATCAAGCCAATCCATTAAGTTGTTCAGAAAAGTATTAGTGATAGCAAGTAATCCATTTAAAGCGATTTACTCATTTTTATTGAAATGTCTTAAAAGGAGAATGCTGTAGTAAGTGGAGCAAAACAATTAAATAGTAATTTTTTCTGGTTATTAATAAGAAGTAGTCAATTACTAAAGAAGTCATTTTTAACCATTAAGCATTTAGAAAGCCTCCTTGTTAAACATTTAATTTTTACAAAATGACCGTGAAGAGTGTATAGCACTTGGGGCAAATCTTCGAGTTCTTGAACTTTGCATGCAGGTCTTCAACTCTTAGCAATGAATATTTCAGAGCAAATCTCTTATAACCCTTTACTCACGTAGTAGGAAAAAGGCTTTATTAACACTGTCAAGATGTTCGCGAAGTAGTGCAGCAGATATCAGAAAACCTATAAAGTATGTAAAATGTTTTTAGTGAAAAAAAAAAATAAATAGAATAATTTTTACTTTGTTGGAAACACTTTTCCTAATAAAATTCTCCTAAATAATAAAATTAATAATAATAATAAAATAAATAGTAATAATAAAATTAGTAATAATAATACAATTAATAATAATAATAAAATTAATAATAATGATAGAATTAAAAATAATAATATAATTAATAATAATAATTAAATTAATAATAACAATGAAATTAATAATAATAACAAGAAAATTTATAATAATAATAAAATTAATAGTAATAATAAAATTAATAATAATAATAAAATTAATAATAATGATAAAATTAAAAATAATAATATAATTAATAATAATAATAAAATTTATAATAAGAATAAAATTGATAATAATAATAAAATTAATAATAATAATACAATAATAATAATAATAAAATTAATAATAATAATAAAAATAATAATAATAATACAATTAATAATAATAATAAAATTAATAATAATAATACAATTAATAATAATAATAATAAAATTAATAATTTTAATAGTAATAAAAATAATTATTTTTTCGAGGCTGGGGAATAAAAAATGCTTACACATATCTTCAGAAACATCTTCCTGTGGTTTATGCGAGGTTCACGTAAATCGTTCACCCACTAAAAATCCCCCTTTCCAGGATGAAGTACATCATCCGGAACCGCCACTAGATATTGCTTCAGATCATGCTCATACTGATTATAAGATTAAATCGTACGACGCTGCTCTAGGGCCTGCATCTAGGTGCCTCTTTTTTACACGGTGTATTTCCTCCACGTGCCTCACCACCACGAACTAGTGGTTCTCACTTGCCAGAAGTAAAGGAACTATGTTTCCCGGGGTCCACATACCACTAATCTATATCTCCAGATTCTCTCCGTCTTTTGCTCCAAATAGTGTTATATGAACAAATATACAGAATTTTTAAACCCAGTAAGATAAAAATTTATGACATATTAAATTATATTCAAACAATAAACGATATAAATTCCTGTATAGTTAAAGCAGGGAGGCAAGGGATAAAAGGGATAAAAATGGATAAAAATTTGTGAATAATGGAAGATTTTTAGAAAAATCATTTTGATATATTAAATTATCCCATAATTTGAAAATTATCTTTGGGTAGAATATTTTAAAATACCTGTTTATCGATTAATATGAAGATATATGCTCCAAATAATGTTAAGTGTTATTACGATAAAAGATAAAAAGATTTATTTTATATCAAGTTTAAGAGTATATAACTAATGAAAAATTTGTGACTAATGTAGGATTTTTGGATAAAGTTATATTCAATTTTTCATGGTTTAAAAATCTTCTTGGGGAAAAAAATTTTAAGCAACCTTTATGTCAATTAATATTTATAATAAACCAAGAAATCAGTTCATTGCTTCAATTTTGACGGATAATGTTGTATAATGATTGCGATTATTAGATAAGATTAATTGATTTAACTGTTTTTTTAACATTATGTATATATCAATGCAACCATTGATATACCATCGTTTTTTAGCTATATAAATAAAATACAAAACAAACGTTTTTCAAACGACCTATAAATATATGTATGTCATAACTGCCTTATAATTTAAGCAGTCGATATTAATATTTTCCTATTACTTCTTACAAAGTTTTATTATATTGGTTTTACAAGTTTTGTTGTTAAAAAAAAATTTACCTTTGTAATACCATATTTTTATTTTTTTTAGTTTTACTAAAACGGTTACATCCAAAATAAATATTGTAAATAAAATTTGGTTTATAATTTTATTCAATCAGAATCCTCTTCATCAATCTCTTTGAAAATGGTCCGTATACATTGTTTAAATCTCTTATATGCGTACGAAGAATGAAATTCAATTCCCAACATATCCCGCAATCCAAATGTATTATTCACATAATTTAATGCACTCCAAATTATACGTTTATCATTTGTGTCGATGTTTTTGAATATGACGCCCTGATCTATTCTATGATTTACAACGATTACCATCGTATTAGGATTACGCATTATTAATTTTCTCATTTTATTGCATGGATCTTCAACTATTTTAAGAATACCCTTACCTGGAACAAACATAAAAGAATTATATTATTCACAATACCATAATTTTTTATCAAAAATTACAAATAGTTTTCCATTTCTTAAAACGTCGGTCCATCTTAAATAGTGTAACAAACCCATAAAAGATTTCACTATAATTTGCACACGCTTTTGAAGTACTGTTTCGGCGTAATGAATTGGTGCCCGATCGGTTGCGAATTGTAATAGGTCCAGGTCCAGGTCCGTCACCATCACCTGTGCTACTTATATGGAGCGGGGAAGTTTCTGGCGCTGTAAAGACATTTCGTGTTCCGTCAGAGTGAGGCATTTCTTGTAGATAATTATATTTTGATTGTTTTGTATAAATTGAGCATGTTGGCTTTTCTTCCGAAATATCTATCCCATCAACAGATTTCTCTACAATGATAGTATATTTATTATCCGTGGAAAATTATTTCTAGATTCATTAAAAATATGTTTTAGCTTTAGTTGACTCAACTAATTTATGTGATTTTTTTAATACCTAATAATCCGGATTGTATTTGTGTTTTCCTTACAGCAACTACTTTGTCAAGCTCAGGAAAATTGTTATCCATTAGTCCTAGGGTTTCAATTGGGATTTTGTTTTGCACAGCGGAAGAAACAACTCCTGTGATATCTTTATAAGTTTGTTGTGAACATTGTATATTACAATCTTGATCAGTACAGCTTGACGGTGTATTTGCATAGCTCGTTGGTGCTATTGAATACTCTGGTATAGTACCTAGTTTAGATATCTCCAGGTTCCCGTTATTGTAGTTTTGACATGTTCTACCTGATGTATCTTCTTCTATAACGTTAGTATTTATATTTAATTGACTGTACGCTCTTGTCAGTTCATCCATTTTAAACTTACACTTTTTGATTTTATTGCTTAAATTTTTATTATTAGTTATTTGCTTAGGAGGTATACGGCGGTTTATGTATAATTACTTTTTAAATTTCATTGTTAATTTATTCTCTTAACAAATTAAACGTTCACTATAGCAAAATATGTTAAGTTAGACAATTTTATAAAATATGATAGAGTTGATTTGAATTAAAAAATTAAATTTGTCAAAAATGTAAATTAAAAATAAATCCTTTCTTAACTAAGTTTGATGTGTATAGTTAAACAAATAAACATGAAATTGCACCACAATATGTGATTATAGAAGGGTCATAATTTATTGTTTTTCATTTTTTCTGTTACGGCTTAAGATACCTCCCGAACATGATACTATAGATGATACTATTAGATTAACAAAAGTTGTTCTCCAATCAGTTTATCTTTGACTTACGCATAGAAATCATTGGTTATCCTAATTTAGGACTGTACAGTGGATTATCTGTTAGTTGATTGCCTTAAGCAAAGTCAATTAAATGAGCGGATGTATAATTACTTCCATTGTTGTGGTGTTGAAGTATCCATCTTTGGCGAGTGAACTTTCTTATTCTTCTGAGCACTACTGGCAAACAAATGGTGGTATACCATTTAGAATTGATTATTTAACCTTATTTTATTAGCACTGTTACCACTTAATAAGTTTTTCTGAAAACAACATACGTTGTTTATACATTTTATATATTTATAGATTCGTTTATACATTATACAATATATGTTAAGATCATTTGTTTCAAAAATGTTCAAAGAAAGTATAACATATAATAAACTGACAATATAATGTGTGTTGAGCGGAGGGACTGTAGCCAATGCGTGTAAGCGACTGTACCCAGTACGTGTGAGGGACTGTTTAGGGACGAATGAATGATATTAATTATTTATGGGCGTCATGGAATGAATTCGTTGACAATTTATTTATCGGTTGACAGAGCTAATTGAATGTAATTAGTTGACTACTATAATAATTTTAAAAATCAACTTATTTTAGGTTATAAAAGTGACTGGGTTTATATTCTAGAACTAGACGCCTAATGGGACTATATACAGATTTTAGTCATCGACCAAATAATATATCATATTTTTGTAAAACGTCAAACATTTTATAAATTTTTTACAAATGTTTCAAAATATTTTTGCATATGTTTAACTAATTTTTTTTAAATAAAATATTATTTTTGAGACCCAGGATGAAAAAAAAATAAAGATCTGTTCCTCTCACAACATTTGAATGCTTTTAATAATATTATTAACTTTTTTTATTATTAATTGATTAATTAAATTCGATTTTAACGTCAATATTTGGCAATACTCGAAACAGCTATATGGTTAGCCAAAATTTAATTAAAATAATAATAAATAATAATAAAATAATTTTTGTTGTTATAGTTTGCTACTATTCGAAACCGCTATATTAATTGATTAATTTTTAATAGGAGTAGTAGCTAATAGAAATATTCGAAGAATTACAGATAATTGATTGAGTTTGTTTGTTAATTAACAATTCAAAACTATTTTATGGGTGAAACAAATACATATGTTCTAATATAATGAAAACTATATTAGGTAGGAGTATACAAAAAAATGGATTATAACTTCTGATAGTAAAACTATTTTCGATGATATTGATTAGTGGATGCACATACTTTAAAATCATATTTCTAAGGTTGCACATCTCTGTTGTATCTAAGTACTATCAAGTAGAGAATGATTTTTCAATAATATATTATTATTATTATGTTGAGGCTAGTTGAGTCATAACCCCTCTCTACGCCTTGACTGAATTATTGTTTACCACTTTATCAAACTAAGCAATAATTGACCTCAGATCTGCATACCTCCCCGAGGAGCCTGTAACCATTCTGAGATTCAATAACGCGGTGTTGGTAAGCCAGTCATTTTTTGTAAATAATTTCAGGGCACTATCCTTTAAGTATTATTTGATCGGATCAATCGTCCTATTGTACCATGGTACCTTGAAAAGTCTTCTCAGAGCCTGACTTTGTGTAATTTCTAACTATCAATAATATATTATTTGTTTTTTTTTTCAATTATTGAATAATAATTCTTTTTACTTTAAAGAAAAACTAGACGAGTGTATCAGAAATCTAGAGTCAATGGAAAGAATGTGAATTAGTAAACGAAATAAATTATGTGTTTTATAAAACAAATTATATAAAATAAATATTTATTAACTTAAAACAGTACCACATGATTTTTACTTAACTACTACTTAGTTTAATAGATTTTTTTATACCTATTTATTTTTTATATAGTTTAATATAGCTTTTTTTTGTCTACTTTAGGTAAAATGCGGTAGCTAAGCCAACTATATTGTGATAAAATCCAAACTATTCTGGATCAAAATCGGATTCATTTGTTAATGTCAAGCGATAATGCTATAGAGCAGTTAGATATAATTGCAGGACAAACACAAATAAAATGTAAAAACCACTAAAAGCCAACATTAAAGAAACAAAAAATGGCAATTTAAAGCAAAAAATAATACCAAAATCAAAATCAAAAACAACAACGAATAAACGAAATACAAAGAAATCTCGAATAAAAATAAATGACGAATAAATTTGGGAGTGCAGAAAATCGAATAAAAGAAGCAAATATTTAATCGAAATTCAGGCGATTGCCAACAAAAGTCACACAAAGGTATGGTTTTATGTTAAGTCCCAAGACAAAAGTAAAAACAGCAACTGAAGTATTCTTCTGCAATATCAACAGCAACAGCAAAAGCAACAGCATAATCAACAACAGCAACAACAGAAAGAGCCGTAATAGAGCAGCAACACGATGTCGCTTAAATTGTTTCGACGCGGTTCAGCGCGCTGCCTTGGTTTACTGTCAGCATTTGTCACAATATTGTTATGTCTTTACTACATTTCCATGGGACAGCCAACCTTACAACCGAAAGACACAACAGCGACTATAACAATAATTGGTGGCAGTGGAAGTACCAGCAGCAACGCTGGCAATGCTAATGGTGCCTTGTTACATTTGCCACTGCAACATTTTAATAAAAATAGTCCGCATAAAATTAAAATTAATGATCAGGAAACATTAGAGAAACATAAATATGCCATATTACAACAAAAACAACAGCAACAATTGTCCAGTGCTGTTGGGTCAATAGCAGTGAGTAATGATGATGAGACTGGCATGGTGGTCGATAATCCAAACTGGGACGGTAAATGTTATATTTTAAATGAGAGCGTAACGAATATAACCGCAGGTGATGAATATCCAAAATTTGATTTTCAGGTATTTATTTATTGTTTTTTATTTTTTTTTTTGGTTTTTTTAATTGTATTTTAATTTTTTAACAGCCGGAATGGATACGCACGAAAGAGTATTGGGATCGTGGCTTTGAGGAGCGTTTCGAAGCACAAAAAAGTGATAAAGAGCGACCATCTTTAAAGGTAATTACTAGGTTATATACTTAAAAACTTGGAAATTTGTGATTCCTTCAATATACCTTACAGATAATTGTGGTACCTCACTCTCACAATGATCCCGGCTGGCTAAAGACATTTGTTAACTACTTTCAAGCTGATTCACGTCAAATACTCAATTTGATGGTCACCAAAATGCAGGAGTACAAGGAAATGACCTTTATTTGGTCTGAAATAAGTTTTCTACAATTGTGGTGGGATCAAGCGCATCCCACTAAACAACGTGCGCTTAAACGTCTTATTAACTCGGGACGTTTAGAAATCACTACCGGTGGTTGGGTTATGACTGATGAAGCTAATGTACACATATATGCTATGTTGGATCAATTAATTGAAGGTCATCAATGGTTACGTAATAATTTGAATGTTACGCCCACTGTCGGTTGGTCTATTGATCCATTCGGACATGGTAGCACAGTGCCTTACTTATTGTCTGGTAGTAATTTCGAGGGTGCAATTATACAACGTATACACTATGCTTGGAAGCAATGGTTTGCTAGACAACAAAATGGTGATTTTATATGGACTCCGTATTGGGAGAAACAAGGCGGCACTCAATCAAACAAACAAGGTCAACTACTAATGCATAATATGCCTTTTGATATATATTCGATAAAAGGTTCTTGTGGACCACATCCCTATATATGTTTAAATTTCGATTTTCGTAAAATACCTGGAGAATATACAGAATATTCTGTGAAAGCAGAATTTATTACTGATGAAAATATTGAGAAAAAGGCACAATTATTACTGGAGCAATATGCGCGCACCGCGTCATTATTTCCACATAATGTGGCTCTAATACCTGTTGGAGACGATTTTCGTTATAATAAAGAACGAGAAGTTGATCAGCAATATATCAATTATAAAAAACTAATTGATCATATTATGGACAATAAGCGGTTATATAATGTAGATATATCTTTCGGTAAGTTAAGAGAAATACATTTTGGAATTGTAATATTCTGCTAAAAAAAAGCTTTTTAAATAGTTTAAAGATAACATTTAAGTATATTTTTTTTAAATCAGCCTGTACTTCACGGACCAATTAGTATATTGTGACCGACTAGATACAAAATGTAGTCACAAACGCATATGATTATTTCTTTAAACACAATCAAGTGCTAACTAATTATATGAGTAGTTTTACTATTTACTATTTTCCACCATCACAAATGTAGTATTCGCATATTTTTTTTCATCTGTTATGATCAGCCTATTTCCTATATGCTTATCTTAAATTTTAAATAATTGTTATTATATTTATTTACTTCGTGTCCTAATATAGACTATCATTTGTCATTTTTTTTATTCCCATAACGACTGTTTGTATCTCCAATTTATTAGAATGATACGTTTTTAGAAAGATAATTATGCTAATTTCAATTTCAGCACCCATTACATCGTCTTATATGTATATACATTTTTATCTGTTCATCACAACTTTACCTTATATTGTTCCCTTTATATAACTATAATCTATTAACTGAGTTATTTTTCTCTTTTTAATGTAAAGAAAGAGATACTACTTCTAAGCTTTTAATAAATATAAGCCTTCTTAGATTACTAAAACGTCGGTCAGCAAAAATGCTAGAGATTTATTTGTTTATTATTTATTTATTTATTTATTTGAGTTAACACTAAAATACTTCGTAAAGTGCTTCGTCCTGAAATTTATTTTAGCAACAGTACTTTTTAATATATTTTTTTTTACAAATTTTATTTGGTATTTATTTTGGTTATCATTACTGCGACAGAGGCTCCATGATCCCATTAATAGCATTACTTATTAATTTCTTTTATTCAACTTTTATTAAATATTTATTTTGGCAATAATTAGCCTCAGAGAGGCGCCATGAAGCCTTTAATAAGTATTAAATAAATTCTAATTCATGATCGTAAATAATTCAGTTTTCAGCTAAAGCAAGAAAAGATTGATTTCCAATTGTTGTCATAAACCAACAGTAGCGTTCAAGGTAAACACCTTTCAGGAGGTTAAAGCCATTGTGTATTGTGTGAAAACAATGTATTCCATCAATCAATCAATCAACTCTAGCATAGTTGAACGTTAAAACTCTACTCGACATGGTTGATATGTTATAGAAAATATTTTATACATATTTTATATTATATATTGGGCATTGAATAATTATAATACTTAGTTAAGCGATCTATTTTTACGATTAAAATATGTGTAATACTTATTTTTCCAATTTATATATGTAAACATATTTCTTTATACGACTTCAATATATACAATTAAATAATGCCTTATCTTCATTTTAGGAACTCCAAAAGATTATTTCAATGAAATTCGTAAGAGATCTGAATCATTTCCTACATTCAAAGGTGACTTTTTCGTGTATTCCGATATATTCTCTGAAGGACGCCCTGCTTATTGGTCCGGTTATTATACAACTCGTCCATTTTATAAAATAATGAGCGCGGATTTAGAACACAATTTACGAGCTGCTGAAATTTTATTTACAATAGCTTATAACAATGCTTTGAAATTCCACCATGAGAACGCAATTAAAATATTTGAAAAGAATTATGAAAAAATGATAAATGCACGCCGTAATCTTGCTTTGTTTCAACATCACGATGCCATAACTGGAACTTCAAAAGCAGCAGTGATGCGTGACTATGCTATGCGTCTCTTCGAGAGCACACAGGATGTGATGAAAATGCAAGAATCCACTATTGAATTACTCATACAGAATGGTACATCGCATCATAATTTCTTATTAAGCGAACTGGAACGTGATAATTTTAGTAAATTGCCTAGAAAAACTCTAATACCGCTGGGTATAAATAGCATTGGTAGTGATTTTGTAGATATTAATTTAGGCTTAAATGGTGAAAAAGCAAAATCCACATCATTTGTGATTTATAATTCATTGGCACAGAAACGTTTGGAAGTCATTACGTTACGTACGTTAGTGCCGAATATTAAGGTATATAATGAGCTTGGAGCAGAACTGCATCATTTACAAATAAATCCTGTTTGGAATATAACTGATCCATATGACTTGGGAATAAATACTGGTAGCAGCAGTGCGGGTCGTATACGAGTCTCCACACGTCAATACGAAGTAATGTTTGTGGCTCAACTTGATGCATTATCACTTAATACTTATCGAGTTGAAATAGATGAAGTGAATTATAAACACGCAATGGCTACAATTTATTGTGACGAATGTACCGATACAACCACACCACCCAGTGTAGCAACTAACGGAGAGTTCACTGTGAAATCTAAACCTGCAGGTATGACAGAATTTATTAGTTGTTTTCAGATTAATAATTATTATTTCTTTTTTAAGGTGATGTACAATTGGAAAATAATCACATGCGCTTACTTTTTGATGAGAAAACTGGGTTTTTAAAAACTGTTACACGTAAAAATAAGGATCAAAAACTGTTGCAACCCATGCAATGTGCGATTAAATTTGCTGCTTATCGCAGTGCACAATTTCATTCTGGCGCTTATCTCTTCAAAACCGATCCAGAACAAAGCGAAAGTGAAAAGGATGTACTTGAACAATATGAAGACATACGAATTATTATAACATCTGGACCAATTGCTAGCGATGTCAATGTGATTTATGGTCCATTCCTAGCTCATACAGTGCGCATTTTAAATACGCAAACTTACTTGGATGCTGCTATTTATATTGAAAATGATATTGATTTTGAACCACCACCGAAAAATCGTGAAACAGAGTTGTTTATGAGATTTGTGACTGATATTGATAATATAGCACCGGCCAAAAAGGATATTTTAAAAGATGGCGATACAGTACAAGAATTACCGGAATTCTATACCGATCAAAATGGTTTTCAGTATCATAAGTGAGAGATCTAATTTTTTACAACAAAATCATATATAAAATAATTTTCTTTTATTTCTTTCCAGACGCGTTAAAGTACCCACAATCGGCATCGAAGGCAATTACTTTCCCATTACTACTGGCGCCTTTATGCAGGATAGTCGTGTCCGCCTTACTTTACTCACAACACATGCACAAGGTGCAGCGAGTTACGAACCTGGTCAACTTGAAGTAATGTTAGATCGTCGCACACTTTACGATGACTATCGTGGCATGGGTGAAGGTATCGTAGACAGTCGCCTAACACGTCATAAATTTTGGGTGCTTATAGAAGATATGCCTGCGCAACCACAAAATAAATATCAAGTGCCCAGTTTGTTGGCTACACAATTGGCAAATGGTTTGCGTTATGTGCCGAATGTTTATTTCGTTGAAACTTTTGACACACCGTCAACGCAGCTAAAACCAAAAGCTTTGCTATTCGAACAAGGCGTACTTCCATGTGATGTTCATTTACTTAATTTCCGCACGCTATCTGAGGAACAGTTGCAACTATTCCCAACTTCATCAGCATTGTTAATCTTACAGCGTCAGGGTTATGATTGTGCAGTTGGTCAAGATATAGATACGAGTGCAATATGTAATTTCTCAACAAAAGGTTTGGGACAATTGAAATTTAAACATCTCAACATAGCCCGTTTGGAAACTACTACGTTAACCGGAATGTTACGTGCAAAAGAGAGAAAGCGTTTGAATTCATTTGCTGAAATTAATTTAGAGCCAATGGAGTTGCGTACCTTTAATGCCACTTTCAAAGTTTAGATACATCCTTCTATTGTTCTATTGTTGTGTTCTTGTAGGTAGCTTTATTTGTGTTTATATGTTTGTGTGTATTTAGGTATGTGTGCTTAGCTATATTTATGTGTTCGAATTTATTTATTAATTTCATGTTGATAAACGCTTTGTTTAACAATTGTTGTATATTTGTTTGTATTATATATATTGTAATATTAACTTTATAATATAAGTAAATTATATTTTCTTTCAAGGTTTAACGTTGTATTACACCATTTATAGACAATGACTGATTCAACAGATTATTGACATGCCTCAATTTATTTTTATTTTGATGCACTTATATATTATGATTTAAAAAATAATTTTTATTGAATCTCGAATATTTTTATTATATAAAAATTAACGCATGACAAGTTATGTTTATACAATTAATCAAATTGTAAAGTAACTGAAATTGGAATAGATGCTTATTTAATTTCTTAAATATAACACTCTCTACTTTCCTACAGACATCATGGCAAGCATTCCGTATAAACTTTATTAAACTTTCCAAAATTAGCTTCTGTAAATTACAAATTTAAATGAAAAATTAATTATTTATGGGCTTAAGTATTATGCACTTAAAACATTTAGAAAACATTTATATATTGCAATTTAAATACTTGATTTAATATCCCCCACTGCTTTCTTTGTAATTTAAAACAAAGAGTATAGTATATTAACTGATTATATTGAATATCTTTCAAGATACAATTTGTTTCTATTAGTTATATATCGAATAATATCTGGGAAATTATATGTCTGCATTATGTCTACTTATCATTGTATCTAATCTAAATATAGTAGTTATTTTAAGCCGACAGGCCTCCGTAATACTTTTAAAATACTTCCTATTAGTTTATTATGTGTTGGAGAAATATGTCAAGCTTTAAACAAGCCATAAACATTTTCTTAGAGAGATGGAGGGATTTCATTCAGGGAGGTAAAAAAGTATCAGCTCATTCATTATCTACCCATAAATATGACATAGTTCAATTGCAAATACAATTTTCCAACATTAGTTCTATTTTGTATAACATTCGTTGCTTTTTTGCATTTATCAATTAATATTTATTTGATTTAAATTTAAATTAAATTACATTAATGCATAATCGTGAAAACCAATATATTTTAAATTTTTAAATAAATAAGCTCGTTTAATTAATTTAAAGTATCGAGTTGAGTATCGTACAGTATCGAGTACAGTATTTTAACTGCGATCAAATCAAAGAAATAATTATATTGTTCTATTTAATTTTTTGGGAAACTATTTTAACTGTTATTAAATCGGAGAAATTACTATTTATATTGTTTTTTAAAACAATATAACAAAAATACTGATTACTTATTTGAAAGTTATCATTATTCATTTAAAAAATTTATTAAAATAAAAGTATATAATCAGATCTGATTTTCTAAACCTTTCAAACTTTTGCTCATAAATATATTCTCCAAAATATTCAAAAAAAAAAAAGAAAAAATAGAAAATATCAGTTGTGTTCTTACAAATATATTAAGAAACTTTTTTACAAAGTCAAGGCAGCCCTCCGTTGTTTGCAACATTATTATATTATTTTAAACTTAATGCACTTGTATATTTAAAAATATTGTATTTTTTAGAACATGCTTTAAATTTATATATTAAAAAAATATTAAATAAAACAAAAACCGTTAATATCAATATTATATATATTTAAACTTTAGTCCAATTGGTAGTAATTGTGTACCTAATTTTTTTAACTTCAACTATAGCACATAATTTTAATATTTGTTCCACATTATAGAACTTTATATACAATTACAGAAAAACTTTGTACATACTGAATTAGATTTAAATTTATCCAACAAAAAAAATAATAAATAATAATCTGAAGTTAATAAAATCAAAAATAAAAAACTTTTAGTTAACAAAAAATATTTTTAAATGAAATTGTAGTTCGCACTTGATATTAGACTACGAACGGAATAATTCATTTTAAAATTATACACGCTTTGTTTAAAAGTATGAATAAAACTATTCAAATTATTTTGTTTTGATATATATAAAAAAATTGGTTTATACTTATGCTACAATGATTGCTTTAGACTGATTAGATTAAATATTTAAATAAAAATATTTAGTTATTAAAATATCTGTTTTACTTGCCTATAAATATTTTTAGATAATTATGAGCTTTTATGTCCTACTCTATATTGAAAAGATATTATTTATATAAAATATTCTATTTTTTTTTAATAGCTAAATATTTATTTTTGTTTTAAACTAACACATTCTTAATATAAAGAAATAATCAAATATATATTTTATTTTTTTAATCAAGTATTAAAATATTTATTAAGAGTTTGAATATTTTATTTGTTAAATTAACTTATATAATTTTTTTATTTTATATATTGTTTAATACTTAAAAGTGTTTTTGGTTTTTTAATTAACACAAATTTGAATATTTTTTGTATCTTTTTTATAATAATTAAAACATTTATTTTCTATTTTAAACAATAATATTAAAACAGATTTCTTTTAATTTAAAAATGTTTAAGGTTTTTTACATAAAATATCTATGTTCTTTTCAATTATTTAAAAAAAATATTATAATAAATTTTGTAATAAATCAAATATTTATTTATTTCGTAAAATAATAAATATAAAAATATTCTCTCAAAGAATATACAATTAAATATTATTTCTTAAATAAAAATTTAAATTTTTTTTAAGAAATAGTCATATATATATTTTTGTTTTGTATTATTATAAATAAAGGTTATAGCTTTCAAAAACTGTAATGAATCTCCCACTTTAAATTAAAAAACAAATTGTAAAATTTTTATTTTAAAACTTAGCCTAAATATATTTTAGCAATTTTGAAAACATATATATTTAACAAAAATATACGAGCCAAATACATTTTTTAAATAATAAGTTTTTAATAAAAATTTTAAAATATTTATTAATGAGAAGAATTTGTAAATGTTTATTATTACTTATTTCATATCATTTTGTTACTATTTTATGTTTTCAATTTAATAAAAATATAAAAAAATTAGGTGAACATCTAATAATGTTTTTATAATTTTAGCAACAAATTATTTGTAAATAGTTATTTTATTTATTATATTAATAATAAAATTATATGATATAGAAAATTGTAATGTTTTATAAATAGTTAAAATAAATAAAATATAGTTACTAATAATAGAAGCCTAAAAAAATTAGCATCACCTCGTAAAAGACATTTTTAGTATTTGATTATATATATAAGTAATAATTATTGTAAAGAATGAAAAAAATGAAAAACATAGATGAAAATTAGTTGATATTGTACTTTGAAAATGTATTTGCATTAATAAAATATGAAACGAAAAAGTTATTTAAATTCATTGTTTTTTTAAAGAACAATTAAAATATATAATGTGAAACTTTTTACGAATGAAATATATAATAAGTATATATATATAAACAGTGACGGTACGAATTTTGCAACTTGTGTGTTAAATTATTTAATTTAGTAAATTATATTATATAACATATATAAACTATTTTTTAAATTTAATACAGTCATGCAAAGTTTACATTTATTAAATTATTAGCTTCTTCATCCTTTTCAATCTTAGGTAGCAAATTTTTTGATTCTACAAGTTTGAAATATTTGTCAGTTTCCAAATACACAAACACTTAAATTCGATGTTTTGACGTTATTTAACAACTACAAATGTAGCAGTTGGTTGGAACTGGCTTTCTCTTCTTACCACTTTTGATTATTACTAAGAGAAACTGGAATATACAAAAAAAATTGATTGCTAATGGATATCTTTAATAGAGTTAAGTCTTAGCTGGACAAGCAATAATAAAGATTTCATCACTTAATAGATCAAGAGCATATCATTGATTAAATGGATCCTTGAATTGGATTTTAGTACCACCAACAGCTATTTTGAACATTTTTTTCCACTTCACCATATATCAACATAGGCTTAGATACAGATGCTTGAAGTTAAAAATTTTGGTTAGAAAATCACATCACACAATAAGTAGAGGTACTAGCTGGTTGGTTCTACTGAAATCTATTGTCAAATTGACGTACCAAAGAATTGACAGGAGATTGTGTCCTTGAGTTCCAATAGTCTCAATATTTCATTATGATTCATTGAGTCACGATATTTTAATATGTACTACCTTAAACTTGTATTCGCTATAATATACTAATAAGGCATGAATATTGATATTGACCTCAAAAATGGCCATTTCTATTCTATGCTATTTCAATATAGGTAAATTATTCTTAGTTGATGAATGCATATAGTTTCGATATATTCAATGGATTAGATGGCAATACAATAACTTGAGTTCGAAAAAATAATTGTACCACATGCGATGTACGTGGTAGCTGACCACAACTGAAGTACATGTAAATGATACATTAAACGTCACAGTTTCAGCTTAGGAGTACACCCTAAGATGTGGTAAGAGCTGGCTGGCTTGCAACTGATATAGCATACATTACCTTACAAATCCCTTAAGGTATAATTAACGAAGAAAGCGATGGAATGAATTATGAATTATAATTATTAAAATTGTTGCTAAAAATTGAGATCGACTAGAGAGAGGACTATTTTGTTGTCATGCAAAGTCATACAAATAGTCTTCTTTATAACTATTTCAGATATTATATATGTAAATTTTAAACATTACACAAAAGATTATAAAATTGTATTGATGAGGATCCATAGAAGTGAAATCGGTAAGTAAAAAAACAAGTACAGGCAAGTTTAATTTTAAGGACGAGTTTGTGACAAAGTCAACCTAAATCACCCATATGAGTTTGTTGCGTTGTTTTTGTGGTAACTCACAAAATATGTGTACATGGATTCGGACGTAGGGTAGTGATACGGTGTAAAAGAGATTATCTGCAGGTTCAAGGTATACTCTTTGTAATACGAGTTCAATTTCGGGTTATATTAACAACGAGCAAAACAATCTAAAAATAAGTTAGTTGGTATGATTAATGGAATAAATATTTGAGTTAGAAATAAAAATATTAAAGAAATCAATTAGATTGCTTCACATTTTCCAGTGAGTGTATGTGAAATGTGTGTATGTGAATACAGAATACGCCTTCTTCTAACGACTTATTAACAAAAAGGTTATTTTTTAATTTAGTTAATGTATTTTTT